ACCCTCCACCCCCCCCCCCTCATACCCCTTTTTATTTTTGAATACATTCTATTTACTATTTACACTCATTTGTAAAGTAATGTAGTTTCTATTTATTACTTATCGATATTAAAATCAACTGTACTATATTAAGCGATATAAAAATCGACTCCTACCATCATATAAGATGAGTAAGCTTTACTTTTAATCATTGAATTTTTTACTGAATTTATTCAGGAAACATCTATTTCAAATATAATTTTTAATTGTTAATAAGTACTTTAAAAATATAGTAACCACGAAGTTGGTCAGGAAAATTAAAAAGTTTCTATTTAAATAGAAAAAAAATTACTTAATTTATCTATTGTTATCTAACGTCCCTTAACTTTTATCTATTACTATATATTATATATTACTATATATTTGAAGACAAATAGATCACCAAATCGAGTATTTGCTTTCAATTGCTATACTTCTGTATACCCATATCTTCGCCATTGAAGTATAAAATTTAGGCTGATGGCGTACAGCAGCAATTATCTCATGGGGTTTCTTGTTATCATGAAATAAAACAAATAATATCGCAAAAAAAAGGTCACCAAAATGGCAAAACACTTTCAATTGTTGCACAAGACTGCCTGCTATTACGCATACTCATAGCTTTACCATTGATGTGCCATATACAGGGTGCTAGGGTATGCTAGGGTAAAATAACCCAATGGGATTTCTATTTGTCTTGAAATATTATAGTTAGCTGATCGATGTATTTGTTCATTTTGTCTGTTGATTACTGAGACAGGCCACTAGATAACTTCCTTGTACCTCAGTTAGCCATTTTTCGCCGTTTTGTTACCACATTCCTCGCAAGAACCTTAGTATAGAAAAGTAAAGACTAAATTCATGCCGCTGAGTTTAGATAATTTAATAGGTCTCTCGTTTTCACTGATGAACAGTCTTACGAACTATTAAAGAAGTATCTTCTGGACACCAAAGCCAGTCATTCAAAATGAATAATAAGCATTATGGCTTCTTTTTCCTCTGGGTTTCCACAACTTCTGCAGTTAGGACTATGCGGAATGCGCAGTTTCACTGCGTGGGTTTCTATACTTAAATGATCAGAAAGAACTGCAGTAAGCCTTGCAGCGTTCAAGCGGTCTTTTTTGATGAGTTCCAAGGATCTATTTTTATTATAGGTGAGCCATGTTAACCCGCAAGTTGCACATGACTTAAGTGCTTTCCATCTATTATTGGCAAGCTGCAGAAAGTAAAAGAAGTTACTTTTCTTAATGGTCTCTAGGATACTATAAACCGGTACCGCCAGGGACACATCCAGGGAAGCACCAAACCGGGCTAAACTGTCAGTTTTTTCGTTCCCTCCTATGTCCAAGAATATTTGTTTAGTTAGTTAACTAACTTTAAAATTATTCTAAGATATTTTTACTTTTGAAGTTTTGTTTATATAACTTTTAGAATTATCTCTAATGATTTATTTATCCCAAAAATCCAAAACTAAAAACTTCAATATGCAAGTTACAATATTAAAATCAAATATAAGAAATCTTAAATACATTATATAGTCTATAACTAAAAAAGAATTGTACTTTTTTAAAAACCCTTAAATTTTGCAGAAAATAATACTCTTTTCTAAAATAAGTTCAAACATCAGATCGTGTATATAAATGGCGGGAACTTAAGTAGATAAATTAGATTCTGAAGATGTGAAACCGAGTCTTAATAACTACCTTTCACAGCCATTATCAGTCAGCATAAACCTGCACCTAGAATCAACTTCATAGCGTAACAAAGCTTCCATATTGTAAGAGACCTTTATAAAGATACTAAACAGTGTCCCTTTGTTAATCGAAAGTATTTAAACGCACTTGTGCTAAACGATTCTGAAAAATAAGTGAATAAAGTCTAACAAGAACTATACTGAATAAACAGATGTTTAGCTATTTCTATAGTAATATATTTCCAGAAGTACAAGTCTTTTTGCTAGAAAACGAATCGAAGAGCTAATGTCATCTATCATCAATAAGGCAAAATTCACGTATAAACTAAAGAGATAAATAGATCGACGATCATATATAAAACAGTAGTGTAGCGTAACACTTAAAAATTCTATTAGATTGTATAGATAGATAAGGAGCCCGGCTTGATATCCTCTAAATTAGCTACCCATAAGAATATTTGGTTAGCTTTAGCAGCGATTCAAAGCGAGAGGCCAATTAGCACTTTCGCACCGCTTTATTGCTGATTATTTGGTTGTATATATTTAAAGCACATTTTAATCAATCCGTCCAGATTAGAAACTTCTTCAGATCGTTAATATTCATTTTCAGTAACTGTTTTAGATTTTTAAAGAGCTATTTGCCCTAACTTGCTACGGTCTGTCTCCAGGGAGCTGAACATGTGCAGAGGAAATGGAGAAAAGTTTTCTTTTTCTCCGGTTGGTTGCAGCTGTGACAGTAAATATTGTAAGGAATTTCTAGTTCGGTTACTCGGTTCGGTTCTTTCACAAAAAAAAAACAAGTAAATACGGCAGTCAGGCTGAAAACGTCGCTTCTTTTTGTTGATTGTTTTTAAGCGAAAGAAATCTGCTTGTATTACACGTTACGAGACTTTTTCATCTACTATCCGTTATATGGTACGGATATACATTGATCATTAATTTGAATGACTCTTTAGTGGTGTGAACACCAGATTTACACTTGTATGGCCTATCATTTCCAAGTTAATTCATACACTTTTTCGTTTCCCTTTATATTCCGGTGCTCCAGGACCTAGATAAGAGAAACAGTATGCTATTTGTTTAGGGTGGTTAAAATCCTGTTTGGCTCTACTAAGCAGGAGGTTAAATCTAGTGCTTAAGTTGCATTCTGGCTAACCGATAGAATAGACTTATTTCATTTAAAAAATTAAATCTATAATTTATATACATGCTTCACCAATTGCAAACACTTCAGCTTAAAGAACGCTAAATGAGTTGGGAAGGCGCACAGACTTTTTGACGTTCAATTTTTCAGAGTATATACCTGCACCTTATCCGCACTTCATTTTGAAACCATCCGACACTCCATTTGCAGTGTCAAAAATTTTGATGTAGATGTCGAGGTCCACTCCTTTCTTAATAGTATAAATATATTGACATTTTTATTGAATAGCACACTTCGAATAAGACAGTCAGTGTTAACAGAAATGCTTAACAATAAGTCCTAAAGATCTGTCTATCAACAGTTATCAATAAACAAAATACACTAATTTTTAAATCAGCTTATATGTGATAGATATGTCACATATATCAAAAACCTGGATTTAATCGACTCTAATATTATTAAAAACGATATTAAGTTACCAAAGGCTAAATTGGGGCACTTTCCTTTTTTATAACGAAGTGTTTGAGTGATGATGAACCCAAGTTAGTTAAAACTCATACTATAAACCCAATAGTTTAACTGCAAGTCTTTCAAAATTATATGAGAACCGGGTATTGACGAAGCCCATACACTTATCTAATCGTCAGTAGCAAAGTATAATTCTCCAAAATCAATTCGGTAATAGTGTAATAATTGAACAGGTAATTCATATATTGAGTTCAAAAAAAATCTTTGAGTTACGAAAGTATTTTTCAGCCAGATTTTTAAACTTGGTTGGCTGCTAAAAGCATATGTTTGTAGATCAAAAGTTTCTAGGGTACCGTTCTCTGTTATACTAAATGTATTATTTTTAACTTACCCACAATAATGCTGTAATGCTGTTAACATTTACAGAGAGCTCTACAAATATAAGTTTAATCCAATACCCATTGGGGCATTATAATTGGATTCCAAATTGTATTAATTATTAATAGATTCCAGAACACAAATGTAAACAGATGTTAGCAACATTCAGTACCCAAAGCAATTAAAGGTGTGGTTCTACAAATAGTCTACCATTTGCTATCTAGATATGTTTCGCATCTTGAATAGGACGATGACAGAGAAACGTAAAAGTTGGACCTGTAGTTAATTGTGTTGCTATTGGAACATTGTTTTAAAATGTTTTCTTATGCTAGGAATGATTAATAAAAATAACACAAAAGTGATTACTGAAGCCTATTTTGATAAATTGTAGCAGAAAAATGTCCTCAACGTACTAGAGAAGCATTCGAACAAATAAAATATCACTCCTGATTACGTTTGCTAAATGAAGTCGATAGACTAATTCCAAATATCACATCAAATTATATAAACTTGATGTCAACTTTATCTACAAGTACATATATAATCAAATATAGTTATTAAATTAGACATAATCGAACAGTATCATTCTACGCTCCGCGATATCTTAAACAGCTCTTAAGATGCCAATCATTTTCAAAATGCACATATATTAACATTGTTAGTGCCCTTCCTCTGACTGCAACTGCAAGTATATTAATGATATTAACTATCACGAAATCTTCAATGGATTTATTTCTAAATTATTAACATAGCTATTCACTGTCCTATAGATTGATATTCTTACCAACAATGAAAAAAAAAGTGAATATAGCAATAAAAAGTGCACTTAATGGTGCTATATAGTGCACTTAATAGTGCTGCTATATAGCGCACTTAATAGTGCTATATAGTGCACTTAATAGTGCTATATAACGCACTTAATAGTGCTATATAGCGCATTTTATAGTGCTATATAGTGCACTTAATACTGCTATATAGCGCACTTAATAGTGCTATATAGTGCCCTTAATAGTGCTATATAATGCACTTAATAGTGCTATACAGTGCACTTAATAGTGCTATATAGTGCACTTAATAGTGCTATATAGTACACTTAATAATGGTATATAGTGCACTCAATAGTGCTATATAGTGCATTTAATAGTGCTTTATACTGCACTTAATAGTACTACATAGCGCATTTAATAGTGCACATTGGTCATACGCTTCCTTTCAACAATTATTATATAAAAAAAGTTCAATAAAATCAAAGCAATTAAAAGTTTAATAACTATATTTATTTATACAATCGAACGATAGTGTATAAAAAATATATTAATAATTAATTTTCATGCTTATATTACTTTTTCAAATAGTTATTTCTTAACAATTTTCAGGTTCTCTTAAGCCATCTGAATGCATTTGCTTTCCGGCTAGTTCCAGCATAACACGGCTTTCCAAATTTTTATCCAACACAGATGTTGCTTCAGAAGTCTAAAATTCATTAAAAAAAATTATATTAAAAGTAATCAAATGAATGTTTTTTAAATATACTAAATAAACAAATTATTTATATTATTTTGCTTTCTGTAAGACCCCACTAATTACAGATGGTCTAGTAAGTACAAAGTAAACTTCTTAACTAAAAATAATGTGATGATATTAGAAATGAGCGATTAAGTAGATGAAGATTATTAATTAATAAAAGATTATTAAAGTTTATGCCTTCTTTAAATTTATAATGATTTTTATTAAACTCAGGAAGTACAGCTGTCCCTCCTCTCCTACTTTAAGTTTATTAGGAGAAATTTCTTTAATAAATAGAATTGTTAGTTGATCATGATATTCAATAATTAGACCATAATTTTTATCTTTTTTTACAGCATATTAATTTAATAATATTAATTATTTTATTTTCTCCTTTCATACACATGGTTTGCTTTTTTTTATAATTATTATAACTAAGGAGGGAGACATAGCACTTTCAAGTCCGTTGTACTTATTTCATGTACTTTTAATGGCTCTTTAATGGCTCTAATATATTTTGAAATATTGAGAATGAGAGAGAGTTATTTCGATTTGATTTCGGTGATGGTAAGAATGTTATTTAATATGCCTTGTCACATTGGTCAAAACAGTGTTGCTCAGTAATAAATGTCATAATTTGTGCCTTTTAGGAGAAACATAAAAGCACAAATACCTTTTAAGCTTAAGGAAAAAAAAACGTTTTAAAATATTAATAGAAGAAGGAAATTGGTAATTGTGATATGAATTCTGTATAGCAGAGATGCGGTGACCAGTCGTCATATGACTGTATGTATAGCATGGTTAGTGGCGAGTGAACTTCAGTTTACTTAAACAAGATTAACTTATTACTTCTTGAGTGGGATTATTACACTTGAAAATAATCAGCAAAAATTAAAGTAAGTACAAAAATACGATATACTGCTTAAATGAAGTATATCGTAACAGAAGTTGTGCCTTGTAGGTCTGTTTTCACACCTTTTGAAAATCAATGGTTAAGTAGCAAGAATATTAACGATAGTCTATTTCGGGTAACCAATTCTTCGTTTATGGCTAATGAAAAAGTTATGAGTATGCTGCACAGCTCCTTGTTCATTATTGCAAAATCTGCAGGTTAGGTTATAGAGGATTTCCAGTTTGTTATTATGATTTTAACGTTATTCTCTGTTAAAATCAAGCAAGTTTTTTATTGACTTAAACTTTCTTTAATTTATTTTTTTTTTGACCGAATAAAAATGTAATAAACATGGTTAATAAATTCAGTACAGTTTTTGCTTTCGTTTTTTATAAATAATTAAATACTGTACAGTATTTAAAATAATTTAAGTTTCATTTTGATATTTATTTTTGAAGTGTTAATAGTAGCATCGATATAAATCTTTATTGTGGGAAATTATAGGGTTACTATCGACTGATTTCAGCCAGTACTTTATATATTAATAACACATGTAAAAACACTATCTGTTTAGAATATCATTTACTTATATATTTGAAACGATTCATTAATTTATTTTAATGTGTAAAATAAGCACAAATGTGCTTTACTGAAACACTATTATAGGTAGTGAGGAATTTAATAATATGTATGACGGTATGCGACTTGAATGTGTGTATTAATATAATTTCGACTGTACCAAATTTTCGGAATCTTGAAGGTTTCAAGATCGGCGTGAGTGAATTCACAAATCAACTGATATCAGTTAGGTGAATCAACATAAGTTGTGCCATATAGTAAAAGACAACATTGCGCAATATATTGTTTTGCAATAAATTACTTAATCTAAGTAAGTTGACGACAAACTCAACAAACTTGGTAAACATTGTTAAATTTAAAATATGAAACAAAAACAATAGACCAAAACTATCATTTCCTGCACCAATAGGATGTCACAAAGATGTTAGAACATCTCTTCGGTTGAAAAATTCAAAGCACCATGCTAAAAATTAATAATGCATAAACTAAATAAATTAGAAGAAAGGCCTGTGATGAAATTGGAGGTTGGCCGTTGAAATATCTTGGAAAGGAGGTATATAAGTGAGTAATTCGGAAAGTAGTTCGGGTTGATGTGAACGAAACTTACAGCATCAATTGGGCAAAGCCATAAATCAGTAGGGCACAAAAATACGTATGCAGTGAGAATGGTAAACAAAAAACAAATAGACGGCGTTATGAGGCATGGACTTGTAGTTACGGTACTTATTTGAAATAAAGGTTTTTATGTGTAACAAATAACCGTTTTGTTCTTCATTTGGGTTGTGCTAGTAAAGTACTTACTGTAACAAAAACTGCAACATTCGGAAAACTTGATCTCAATACTCTTATTTACCCTTTCACCTAAAGAATTGTTTTAGCATCTAATTGAATTGTTGAACTGGGAAACTATTTCCTTGATTTATTCAGATCCAAGGGATAAGAGCCAAGTGTCTCAAAAAATTTTGCAGATATTATTTGAAGTTTTTGTATATTTTCCAGCCACGCTTGATTGTTTGGGGGAATTTCGAACCTGATTTGGATCCCTATTGTGTATTGATATAGTAATAGGGATGGGACTTGGTGTCATATCTACACTTCAATTCGGACGGGAAATACCGATCATTTAGCAAGGCTGATATCAAAAAATATTAATTCAATTGGATATTACTATATTGAGCAAATCCTCATTTATATCTTTAGTTAGTGCTGTTATTTGCCTTTTGATTGTGGATCGATTTAGATCAGGACCAAAGTCATTATTTCTTGTATGCTAGAAAACATTGCCTCTTGTGTGCAATGTTTTTTTTTCTGGCATAACCTCATAATTGTAGACCAGATAGGTTTGAGCATTTGCTTATATACGTAAAAATAATATAGGCAGACTTCTAAATTTTATTATAAGTTCATCTTATTTTATTTTAATGTTCTTTACATTTTAGCTTGATGTAAAGTATTGTTTCTGTGTTTTGATTTCAAAGAATTTGCTGTCTAGAATTTGAATGGACAATATGATTTTTTTTTTATTGTGGAATTAATGTGAACTGAATTGGTGTTAATTAATACTATTTTCCACTTTATTATATGTTGTGCTTTTGTGCATTATAGATTGCGTTCTGTGTGTATTGATGTCGGTTGATATTTAAATCAGAGGATGCTACGAAGATTATACCACAGTTGTTGCAAAAAAAAAATTTCTTCAACCATGTTAAGTAAATCGTTAAAAATTTTTTTCATAATTTAACAGTTTGTCATATTCAGTATAGAATTATTTTTCAAAACTGACTCCTCTAATCGACGTTAGTAAAACGATGGATTCAACTTTACCTAAATATAATTTTGATAATGAAAGTAAAATCAAATATATACTCACAAAAACTTTGAAAACTTACAACAATTCGCTAAATCCATTTTTTAGGTTAGAATGAAATGAGGGGTGTATATACAAACACCAACACTTTCACTCGGAAACAACTATTGCCCATTGTGACGCTCTTGAACTTTTTAATGGGAAGGCAAACTACACTAACAATTGTTTTCAACACAGTTCCTTGCGTTATCCATTTGATCTTCCAGATAAAGAGAGAGAAATCCGACAACTCCGCCTTCGCTTTCTCAGCCAGGGTTCATGTGAAACCCCGGTCAGAGACATAAAAAGTTATTGATATTTTGTCAAATATCCATATGTTCAAATTCACACTACAAAAATCTCAATTAATGGATCTTTAATAATTTTTTTTTTATATAATATCTAAACTTAAGTTGCCTGACAATACTGTATATAATACAAGTATAGTCAAGCATTAATGCTGACCAAAGTTAAAGAAAATAATTTTTGTTAGTACTACTTTAAAACCAATATTTCTGTATTAATACATATTATTATGAATTATAATATAAAACCAACTCACCTCTCCGTAATCATCATCATTGGTTGGTTCATCTCCAACTGCCCACACTTCCATATTACGTATTTTAAAATCTTTTCGTTTACTTAATTGAATGTAGTCTCGATAAGTAGTACAGCTTTCACTACTCTGTCCAATACCGTATTCGCTATCGATCCACAACCCCCAATAATTATATTGTCCTCCCATGCCCTAAGAAAACATAATTCACCGTTTAACAAATAACACTTCAATTATAAATTAGTACTTACTAAGCCATTTGGCATTGTTTGCTGATTAAGATTTAAATACTGATAATGATTATTATATCCTGTGGAATTAAAACAGCGCATAGCTGGACTCAACGTAAACAATATTGAAGAATCATTACCTAAATAGAATATTATTTAGAAGTTGTCATAATAATGTTAATGAAAAAAATAAACTCGAAAATTTCAGATATCAAATTGCAACAGCATTCACTCAATAATAATTTAATTTATAAACCAATTAACAAATCTACTTCCGTTGATTTGCAAAATCTGCTATGATACTAGGATAACTTAATATCGTACTTCAGTTCATAAACGAGCTTAAATTAAATACTATAAAAAAAAAATTGGTTAGCCAAAAATTCAATTAACTAAAAATAAATAAAAATTGTTGTTGTTGCAATTCAGTGCTGTTTAAAACCTCTCTAAAAAATTCTTTATTTTGAGAATAATCAACTTCAACCATCGACTTGTTTTTTGTTATATATTTGATTAAATTTTTGCATTTTTAGAATGCATTACAAAAAAAAAAATTTTAGGGGTTTTAAATGTAATAAATTACAACAAAAAAATTTTGGAAATATTCTTTACAAATATTTGTTTGTTTTATAAATACGTTTAAAATTATGAGACTACAAGTGCCAAGCTAAGAACTTGTTAAAATAGAAGCAATGACTTGGGTGTGTTTTAACCTAACGGGTCAAAGCTGAACGAAACTTTCAATGTACAGAGTTTATATCTTTTGTTACTTTTTTTTTTAATTTTTCAGAAAAGGAGAAGTTATTCACTTGTCGTGGATTTTAATTCGAACCAGCTTATATGCCATAGCTTATAAAATTGCAATCAACTATTATAATTTCGTAATTGTTAAAGCTTCAGTACTATACTTTTTACTTAGATATTATCTATTGCATATTTTCACATTATTTGCCATTTGACTTTGAAAATTAAATTTAGAAACTAATATAAATGGAATGGGAAAGAATAAATTAAATAGTTTTAAGTTAAAGGTTTGAAAAGATACTTCAAGTTTGCACTGGCACATGTATCATTAGACTGTGTTAAATCTATAAAATAAAATATTTTACACCACCATAATAAAGGGTTTAACCTAAATTAAAATCTAAAACCTATAACAATTATTTCAAATATTTTGAGAGCAGTTATTTTAAAATAACAAAAATATGATTATAAATAAATTAAGCTAAACTAAACCAAAGACAAATATTCGTTGCATTGCACGAATAAATCAAGTGAGTATTGTTTTTAAGCTTAACCTTATTATTGTAATTATTTACCGCCAAATGTTGGCTTTAATGACCAAGATTCCGGAGCATAGCCACCAAATATATAATGATCTTCATCTTCAACTATAAAAACGGTTGGGCCCTTATTAACGATTTTGCCCAGCATAGTAGAAAAACTTTCACCCATAGTTTTCGATGAAAATAAAAAGCGCCATTTATGACGAAATTCGTTTGGTAAATTTGTATTTACATATAATATATGTGGAATGTCAAGTATTGGGGTATAGTGCGTACCCTTAGTCGATAAACCTGTAACAACAAATAACTTAACAAAACTTTATAAGTATATAGTAAATAGATTACTAATTACCTTCTAAAAGAGGTAAAAGATGTGTAGTTAAGGGCGTAATTAATTTATGTGCCTTATCGGCATGTTTACTATATAAATAAACAATAACTTCTCTCCAAATTTGTAAAAAGACAGGGTTTAAATGGAGCCAACGTTCCAAATTTTCCAACAATATATAACGATCGTTGTCAAAAGTAAAAGTCCTTATTATTCCTTTCGAAAATCCCAAAATCGAACGCTCAGCAGAATGGTAGCCTTGTGCTTTCCAACTCTCATATGCTGGTGATGATTGTTGTGCTTGTATATTTAGGTAGCTGCGGAAAACTGAACTCACATACTAAAATGAAGTTAAAGGAAATACATTAATAGTTTGTATTTAATAGTTACTAAAAATTTAATCTTTACTTACGTGTTCCAAATCTTTAATGGTGAACTGCTTATTGTCAGTTTTATTTAAGGATTCGCTTAGAAATATTAATTTTTCAGTCACTGTACCACGATCAACAATGTAGAAAGGATCCGTAAAGCGTTTGAACTGAATAGCACCTAAGCGCTGCTGATCCGTTGAAAATAAAAAGTCAACTGTGCAACTTGCTAAATGTTTATCAATTAAAGTCATCCATGATTCCTGATGTAAATACAAACGTAATTAATTTTTATTATGGATATTAATGGCATATATACCTTACACTATAAAGTATGTATGTATGCTAGTATATGCATGTGTATATTGTATTATGAAATAATTCACATAACACTTATTAGTCTAAAATCTATAATTAATAGTTAATAATTAGAACAACAATTTTTAATAAAATACAATTTTTTTATTATTACAACAATAATTAATGATTAAACAAAATTCAAATAAAATACATAAAAGTGCTAATAAGTATTTTTAAAATTAGATTATAAAAATTAAATTAACTACACCAAAGTACCACGCATACGACTCCATATTATTTACCGATCATTTTAAAGACAAGTTTCCTTAAAACTAGTTAAGCTTTATTCACATCACTAAAGGAGGATATTACACATGAAACCTGTTGTTGCGTTAAAACGCGAACTTTACAGGTATGACAAACGATGCGATAGAAATCAATATATTTAGAGTTTTCTTCAGACTTGCTTCAGACTTGTTTTTTTTTCGTATACAATCGGATTTTTGTCGACTTTCATGTAAATTTCATTCTGTTTTAAGTCATGCGAGCGAAAACATCGTTTCATTGCGCGCATAATTCTATCTTGTAGTATTTTTTGCTGAGGAGTATTCAAAATAATGTCGGCAGTGAATGATGTGTAATAGCAAGCGACGTCGCACCAAGTCGTTGCGTCAAGTATGATATGTAATACCCACTTAAGTCTCTAACATGCTATGCATACGAAATAAAACCTTTAAGTGTTCAAGATATAACCCGACCGTAGGAAGGGTCGTGAAATAAAATTTATAAAAAAACTAAAAGGCCTTTTTTATTTATGTACTATTCTAAGCCATATAATTTTAAAATCTAGATTTTATTTTGGTGGAAAGTCTTAAATTGTGGCGAAATCGGCCAATCTAAGGTGGAAAAATTGGATTAGTGATTTAAGCTTGTAGAGAAATATAAAATAAATTTAAAACTTGTTATAGCTTGTAGATTGCCGCCAAATCGCTTATTATAATGTGAATAGATAAATATAGATAGTGCTATAATGTAAGAAAATCTACAATTGGGAAGTTATTATTTAAATAATTCAAAATATGTTCATACTTTTGAAAAGGTTTGTGTTCTACACACACATAGTATTGATTGCAAGCGGCTAACCTTATATGCTGCCAAATATTTATCATCGGTGGGGTTTGAAAACATCTAATAGTCAACTAAATTAACTTGTTAATACTATTGCGTCGGTTACAGTAAAAGTATCAAATGCTATATAACATAATCCTATTTTCACTATATCAAAATTTAACAATTAGAAAAATAATATAACATATACATATATGGTAGATTCAGCATTTCCTTTTACCAACATCAAATTCGAACGGTTTTCGAAACCGTAAATGCTAAATTTTTCCCTCCATTGTATTTCCATGTATTTATTTTGCTATATTTAATGGTTTAATAATCGATAACAGATATTTTAAGTAAAAGTAATGACTATTTGAAAACACAATCTCTTACACAACGAAACTCTGTTTACTATTATTTTTGCTTTTTACTAATGTAAACTACGAGCAAATAGTCATTATTAAATATAATTAGGACCTATATATATATGTATATCAAAAACAGAACGATGCACTAGATGAGTTTAGATAATAATCGCACTTTGATTCTACAACTGTTGATAAATTATATAGGAAATATACTTTTAAGAGAAGCGCATAGAAAAATTTCGCTGACTCATTAAGCACCATTTTTGTTAAATAAAAACCATTCCTAAAATAAACAGAAAGGTGGACAAATAATATGGAAACTCTGGATGATCATAAAGAATGCTTTAAAAGTACTTTCGTGTGGGCACCAAATAGTTAGAGCGACTAGGACATTTATATGTCTAATCGGACCCCAAATAAAATAAAAAAAATTCATGATATATTGATGGAAAATCACCGTTAAAGCCATAATCCAGTGACTAAAAATTGGGTACGTGACTTTATTGATGTAGTAAATACCTCCAGTGAGCAGTGAGTTTTACAAGAATATTTATACATAGCGTAATTTTTAGCAGGATGAATGCGGCGGTTACTCATAGTTTATCAAAACCATCCACATGTAACCACTTCCAAACAATGTTTTACATGTCTAATATAATTTTTAACGAAGACCGAAAGATAACTTGATATAAAGTGTGGTTACATCAGTTGACGAAAAATGGGCCTTTACTGATGAACGTACACCAAAAAAAAGCGAAGATAATGCCATTAGCGGAAAAATTATGACTTTTATGACTCACTTTTTTGAGGTAGATAGCAAAATTATGATTGATAGCCACAAAGACGATAAAACAACAGCAATGCAATATTATACGACTATTTTAGACTGCTTAAATGCGAGAATAAGGAAAATGGACTGCACTTGCATAAGAACTACTACGTGTTAACGCATTCGTCAGCGATTGCAATTGGTCAGCTTAAATTATGTTCTGGTAGTTCGCACTAAATTTGACTTTATTCGAATTTTATTATATTGGAAAATTGTATCTAAATTGGAAAGAATGGTTTGCAGAAAAAAAATTCCAATCAAATACATCTAGTAAATATTTTGCGAACCCTGAATAATCTTTTTGTTTTTAGAAGAAAGAATAAAAAACTGGGATACTAAGTAGCTAAATTACAGATAACTGAATTCTCACTTATACAAGAATTCAACCTGATCTTTTCTCTATTTTTAGGCTAAGTAACAAGCCTTTATAGATGTGACCGCCATCAAATGTGGCCGTCATCAAATTGTTGGATGTTTGTCTGATGTCATCGTTTACTTGTAATTGTTTATTATATTTCCTTTATTTACAACTGCATTTTTCACCTAATAATTAATTTACGTATTTTTTTCTCCTGAATTTCCTACGTCTCGCTCACACTTCACCATGCGTTGCGTTATTTTTTTAATTACTATACTAATAACTTACAGCCATTGATTTTATTGTTTTGCAATTGTAAACAATGTTTATTTTTGTAAGCCCATATTGTGTCTAATAAACAAAAAATTTAAAAAAAATAATATGACAACTTACATTCTGATTTATTTTTGTATTTTGTGTATTCCAATTATGAAACACATAATTAAATAATGTTTGAATTTACCAAAGCCCCAGTATTACTATTTTGTAAATATTTACCAATTGAATTAACCAGTTTAATTTAATTCTTTCAACTACAGAAGAAGTATACATATATAATGTTCTATATAATTATCCTATTTTCACTGCTTCAAAATGTAATAGTCAGGGAATATTGCAACATATATATGTAGATCGCACATTGCCTTTTGCCAACGTTGGATCAGAAAGGTTTCCGAAACGTTCCAAGGATCGGTTCTTGAAATAAATACAACAGAAGTTTTTAATAGTTAACACAATGGGGCTAATCGATATGTTAGATATCAAATAAAATTATATTTCATAAATTCAAAATTCAAAATTGGTAGTTTTTTAAGTGAAAGTTACGAATTTCTCTGAAACATATACTGCATTTCGTTACATATTAATAAAATATTAAATAATCTACTATCATTTTTATTGCTCTTATTAAAAGGAATAACTAAACTACCAACTAGAGAGTTATTTATATTAGTTTTATATTTACAATTCTCATTTGATTTAACTCTGTGTGCTCTACAAATATACCCAAAACGTTAGTTAGTAGTGAAGTATAGATTCAAATTTAATATGCTTAGGTAAGCATGCAAATGCATGAGTTTTAGAGATATTAGTTTTAAATCTCGGATGTATGTGTAATAATGAATATTTATATATATTAGTTAAAATATAACAAATATAAACAATTAGTGAGGGAATGCCAATATGTTAAAGTTGATAATCATTGCTTCAGTTTCTCTGGATGAAATTTTAACAATACTTGTTACTCAATAGGCACTTATGGAATAATATAATTTTTATTTGTTTAAAGTGTTCAAAGTATTTTCATAAGATGAAATAATTTGTATGATAAATTTAAGTATTCTATTATACAGCAATAAGTTCCAAATCCAATAAATACAAATACTGGAATGCAAGTCCACATATAGATGATTTAACGTAAACGCATAGAAATTCTCCAGAATCTTTGATCCAAGTTTTTATATTAGCTGCGCGATTAACATTCATAAAAACAATTTCGTCAAATTTCTTCACGAATGGAAAGAACACAAAGTTCATTATCTAACCAGTAAGAATACAACGCAATTGCGAGCACTGGATACTTAAATTGGAAATATCTTGTGCGTACTAAACTTAATAAATTATTTATTAAAAATAATTTGTCTATTACTGTCTAAGATCCACAAAAATAATTCATTTATACTTACACAATTGTTTTAGAGCATTTGAAATCGTTTTCTTCTTTTTCAACATACCAATAGCTTTTCCCTGGTAACAGATTTTTCGGATCGAGCAATGGAGCGAAAACATGCATCCAAAACTTTTAATTCGTCCTGATTAAAAACATTCTGTCTGTCCGACTTCCCTTGCTGGTTACCCATTACTGATATGTGAATTATTATAAGTAGAATTTACTTAAATGTATCCAACGTTGATGAAATGTTTATAATTAATGAACTTAAACAAAATCAAATTAATCGCTTTTCACATTATAATTTCGCACAACACAAAATATATCATAAACCGACATCAGCTGATAACATACTAGTCTCAGTCTCGAACATAGCAGAAGTCTCATTAAGCGATTGATAAATATATGAAACGAAACAATTTGGAATTTTTTTGGAACAGAACAAACGCACATGACAAAATTTAATGTAACCTGTTTGTCGAACAGGCATCAAACATGTCTTTCGAAATTAATTTCAATGTTGCTCTCAATGTAAGTGATCAAAACAAATAAAATTTGATCTTTTATTTTATTCTTTATTTATATTTTTTTATTGATTATTTTTATTCAATCACTTCAAACTTAATTTCACTTTTGTGGAAGAGTTTACAATAATAAATTACAGTTAATGTTTCACTGACCACCAAAACAAAAATTCAAACCTGATCCCCATGCACGTTACTAGGAAAGAACTGAAGTTTTCTAAATGCATTGATTAACTACACTACCATGAAATTAATATATTTTGTATGAAATTACAAAAACAACTACATTGTATGAAAAATGCATTTTATATATTTGTTTTAAAAAATATTCGGCAGGCTAGTGTGAGTTATATTTTATTTTCAAAACTTAGGGTAATTCCTGATTTTTATATTTTTAAGGCAAAAGTAACAGTAATTTGTGCGTTTTTAAATAAAAAACAGAATGTAGGAATTATTTTTGATAAATATAATATAAAGCAAACTTAAATATTATTTTTTGAGTTTTATTTTAAGATGCCCAAGACGTTAATAGTTTTTTCATAGTTTATTATTATATCAATACATAAAAATGTTCAAGACGTGTTGCTCTTTGTGTAGTTGTCTTGCTTGAAAAAAACATTTCTATAATTATCATTAACTTTCGGTACTTTTGAAAGCTATAATTACAGATTACTCTCTAGTGAAATTACTAAGTCCTCGCTGCTGATTTTTTATTATTGATCCACTTTTTAGTCGAATACTGCTTAAATTTTAAACACCCTTTCTCTCTTACAAGAAAGATTTACTGTTATAGCTATTATAACTTAATTAGCAATTCTTAATGAATAAATATTTTATTTAATTTATTCTCTTTAAAAGCTTTATATATTAATATTGTATTAGTTTTAAGAATTGATAATTATAAAATAAACTTAGTCATAAATATACTCGTCTCGTGTAGTGACCTTACTAAATGTAACTAAATATAATAAATGAGAAACTCATGCAGTCATCCAATGTCTTTGTTTAGTTCATCAGTTGATCAAAACTTAATGGACACTAATACAAAATTGGTCTACTATGGAGTTTACCTTGGCCGAAAATGGCTCATTTTGAATGAGCAATTTGAAAGTGCTTACATTCCTTGTAATTAATTTGTTCTCATTCCAAACAGCTGATTTTTCAACTTGCTTGTTAATTTGATTTTTGGACTGTACCAAAAAAATGTTGCATGAAGGTTAAATATACCTTCAAACCTTACAATATAAACTTAAAACATATTTTTAACTTCGATTAATTACCTTTTGGGAAGTAGAAGTACTAAAAAGGAATGCATCGTTTTCAAGAATATGCAACCACCAAACATTTGTTTACCTTATTTTATAAATATGTCAAAAACAGCTTTCTCAAATTGTCAAAATGCCATGAAGAGCTTTTATTTGGAACATATTTGAAACGCATTCGAACGTCGGTTGGACGCATTCATACAGAATGTGATGAAATGGATCGCATTCGCGCTTGGAATTTTGTATGCAAGAATGAGTCATTCGCTTTTCATATTCGATTTTTTACCAAAATGAGCCATTTTCGGTCAGTGTAAATGCCGTATAAAACTGCGGAAATTACATATTTATGATTGCTAACACATATAAGTAATATTCTTCTGGATTTCTCTGTACGCAAATTCGATCAAAACAAAGTAGACAATAAACTTGCAAGTGAGAGTGTAAATGGTCGTATTTTAAGAATCTGAATTTTGTTTCAGAACATTTGTCAGATGAAGTCAGTTCTTATAAACATTTAATATTATATTTATATTTAGACTTAGACTTAGACTTAACAAACCTTTCAAAAATACGCTAATTTTTAATCAGATTTTTTATGAAAAATTAAAGGTATTGCAATTTTGTTAAATTAGTTGTACTTAAAGTCTAAACATAGCATAATATGAACTATTTTTAAAATTATGAGATGATATTACATTAAGTTTCAATGAGTCATTTTAAAGTGTTTGCATTTGTTGCTCTCATTTCATTTAGTAGCTGTCGCTTTGTAAAAACACTTTTACTTTATCCTATGAAATTATTTAATAAGGTTTTTTTTTAAAAAAATATAAAAGTATTTCAAGTATTCCATAAAATATATTTATGGAATACTTGCAAAAATATACTTTGCTGTTTGTTGTTTTTTAACTGCTTGAGAATGTATGCACACTAAAAATAAATTATATTTTGATGTTTCAATCCCATGGTGTTTTCTAAAAGAAGGATGCAGTGGATCTCTCGGTAACATAATCGCTGTCAGTTGGAAAATAATACACGGATTGAAGATTTTTGGGATGTAAGTAGCTGCTCTAGCACCTATGCTAGTAGTGTTATTCAGGTTAAGTTAATTCCTAATGCAAACTTTTATTACGTAAAGCAAAAAAAAATATATAAGCCGAAAACATGCCAGAAGGACGAAGTCCGATCGAACGGTTCGCAAACGCTGTGCAGAGCGTAATTTATGGGCCTGTTACCTGGTTTAGAGGTCAGTAGAATGCCTATTTCAAAAATATTTTAACTTTAAAGTAAACATTAAAATTATTATATAACAACATAACCTTCTCAAAGCTCAGTATTTGTTATTGTTTGTCGATTGCATGTAAACATCGTACCTGTTATGTACACTTTTAACTATTACTGCATTCTGATTGTAACTAATTTAGTAAATAACATGTAGCTTATTAGTTTTCCATGCCAACAGCTAAAAGACTTATACGTAAATCTGTTTTACGGATAAATATTGGGACATCATAAACATTTTTCACGCCGATGTTAAATGTGTTGTAATTTACATTAACCAATTATTTTTGTGCAAGTACCTCTATTCCAAAATATACAACATTAAATATGTTTTGCTTTAAAATAATTTTTGTCCTAAATATAGTCCTTAATTTAGAAAATGTTCTCAACAATGTATTTTAAACGATTTCTTTACTTCTTACAGAGACCATCGTTGAACCGAACCAACAGAAATACCCTTGGTACCACAAACAATTCAGACGTGTACCAACTATAGATGAATGTTATACAGATGATGTCGTCTGCCGCTTTGAAGCCGACCAGCAATTCCGCCGTGATCGTATGGTAGAAAACGAAATTGTTAGCATATTAAGACAACGCTTCGAAGATTGCGTGTTCTACGAAGCACCCGATGAGTTGGAAAGGTGCAAATCCATTAAAGAACAATATGATAAAGCCGCTGAAAATTGGTTTATTAAATGTAAGTATTTTATGAGCGAAAAATATTCGTATGATTTTATTATTGGTATAGTAGAGATTAATATTTAGCAAAATTGTTGAGTAAGTAGAGTAGAGGTTGAGGCAACTCAACGCTTTCAATTATTCGTAACAATATTATTAACTGAACTTTTTAAACAAATAAATATGGCATGATTGCTAAGATCACATGACACTGTCGGATTAAAGTAAATATGTTATAACAGTGATCGCTATAAATAATATATTATTATTAATATAATTTTAATTTCTATACTACACCTGGCGCAACTAGTTTCTAGTTCACTAGTTTTTAATCTAGGCTAATACCAATATAAAAAAATTAAAGATGAGTAAGTACATTTGAATCCTTGGTCAGAATCAATTTTATTCAAAATTTGTTGCTTATTTATGCAATGCATTTCCACTGAATAATATTTTTCTTTAGTATTTTTTTTGTATATATATATATTTTTTTGTATATATATATTTTTTTTTTTAAAATTATTTTATTCCATTTAATTTTAATTATTATTGTCTGAAAGTACTTGACAACGAAATCATAACAAAAGTTTCAAATTTCAACTTTTGCCTTGAGACTCACATTTCGATAACATAAACAATTTTCAGTTTTAATAGTTACATTAAGTGGACTATGTTATCCAGTGCAATAGCACTTACATTGTGAAATAAGAAACCGTTTCTTATTCCACCCAGAGACAATGCTTATCTTGTTTTTTAATTCAATATCCAGATTGCTTAGAAAAGGTATTTTTGTTATATTTTATATAGTGTAATTAATGCACGCACACAACAGTATTTCGTGTTTCTAAGTCTACACAGAATCAGTAGTTATGGTATTTTAATCGATTACATCTATAAGACCCTTCCTAGTGTTAATTTTTTAATGGTTCTAAAGTTTTCACACTATTAATAAAAATTCTTTACAGCTTCGTCCCTGTATCCAAATAAGCGAAGAACCCATCTTTACAAAAGATTTTAAAAGACTTAATACCTAATAATGATAACAACTAAGTATGTCTACTTAATATATTAATTATTGTGCTTTGCAAATACCATTATCGAAACATATTGCCAAATTAGTTATATATATATTTATATCAAAGGTAGCACTTATCCTAGATTAGTATTATTTTTTGATGAATCTCACTTGCTTCAGGTTAAAGGTTTAGTCTATTATCTTAGCGTTGTGTGGAATCAGTGTTTGGTAGATAAATATGATAATCTCAAAAAATCAGTTTTCCCAAGTCGAATGAAAAATTATAATATCTTTAAAAACTAAATTGTTACAACCGTGATATGCTGTAAAAACAAGTCTCCGCTTGTTATCTCATAAGAAGAACGACATCTCTCCCGTACAGTAAGAACTGTTCTAGCTCAATTGAAATCAGGATATAGCCATGTGTTAAACAGCTACTAGTCATTCATAAACACGTCTATTACTAGTGCGTGCCTACCCCCCATGACGTTGCCCATTTGTAGCTTGATTTTAGCGGCTGAACCCGATTTAATTTCAATTATAACTTCCTTTATCCTTTTTCTCTCTACCCTTACCCCTAACACCACCCATCCACATCCAACCCATGTATTTGTATTGTAATCCTTACATGTTATCTTCCGGTTGGCTTCAATAACAACAATTCACCAGCAATAAATGAAATAAATCCCATAAATTTCTCTAAAAAATCGTACTCTAATTGAAGAGAGCTCCAGGCTATCATTAGATACAAAACTGCAATTTACAAGCACTTTCTCTTCAACTTATGAAGGCGATTAAATATAAGTTTTATATGTTAACTGACAAAAAATTCAATTTCTCTTTACCCAAATTTGCCAGATATTTCTCTAATAAGAGTTTTAACTACTGTGGACGTGTGAATGTTTAAACTTCGTATATAAATAGATATGTATATCGTACTGTAGACAGTAGCTACTGTAGTGAGCTTAATGGAGGATCAAACCATTAAATGAGACGCTATTAACTTCAACATATATTTATTTTAAAACCTTAAATATTATTCGCGCTTTTCGAAGGTTTGAAAATTTTAATGTTCGAATATTTTGGGATTCAATCAAATCTTTCGTGTATAGACTGGCTGTACGTTTGAATACTATATTGTCTTCAAGCATTTGTTGCTACTGGAATTCTTGTAACCCACGAAGATCTATAGAACCAATAACATAAAATGAATTACAAATACATATACACAGGTTAGGATATGGTTAGGTAAAGAAAATGTGAGAGCAGAGGAGATTGTTTAGGAACAAGAATAAATTGAGAAGAAGTTGAATTCAGTATTTGTCTGATCGTGTTTGTATGAAAAAAAATAAATATTGAATAAAATATAAAGCAGATTTCCTGTTCGATTCGCTTGAGTATTCTTAAAGTGTTCAGTTCAAATGCTCGAATTCGAATATACTCAAACTGCTTGAACATCGTAATGTTCGAACACTTTTAAGCACTAATGAATATTTATTCTGTATATACTTAAAACACCTTTAATAATAGGCAACTATATTTTTACATACATACTAAAATATTGTTATTATATTACAGATGGTGATCTGGGTGCTTACGGAAATGCCAAGATTGCGTACATGAAACAGAAACATCGTATGATTTGGGAACGTCGTAATGGGCCAGTGGGCTCCGGCATGAAAACTGAAGATGAACTAAATCATTGAGGAGAGCCTTATTTATTTAAGTAGAAGTCGATACTTCTATTATCAAACTTCTTACCAAAAGTAAAGTTCTAATGCAGATATTCGTTTGTGGTAGTTTGTTGTAAGATGATGGTTATGCTTATATAACACAAATAATAAAAATCGAAAAAATTTAAAATTTTTAAATATACTTTGTTTATATATAAGGCTGTTAAAAACTTTAACGCAAAAATATTAAATTGGAAGGAATTATTCGCTTTTTGTTATAATTAATAATAATGCCGTAGGCATAAGGCATATATGGCCTTATTCTATGATTTTTGAGAATGTTGTTGAGGATCAATCAACTATGGGCGATTTACGAAAATTATTCCGGTATTTTATTAAGGATGTTTTGATTCTAAAACAGGTTGAATAATGAAAAGCCATACCCACAGAAGGAGCTGTTACATCTGGTACGATAATAGTACTACTAAATCCGTTTTGACTATAGGTTACTAGTTATTTACCTATGACTAGCTAATTATTATAACTAGTTTGACGAGTTATAATTATTATTATTTAAATAATAGGCTATTGAAGCACCCCGACCTAAAAGATCTATTGTGCGCCTAAAGGTCCAACTAGGAAAAATAACATAGTTCCTCGATGCTAGGGTGTTGAGAAGTTGAAAGCATTCCCAGACCAACTTTGAACGAGTTATAATAATATGACAATTATAAGAAACTGATCTTTCTTGAATACTAAATCATATTCTAATTGAATGTAGCAAATTATATTGAATGAGATAATTAGATCTGTAATGAAAAATACTCAGTATTTATATAGGTTAAAAAAGTGTGAATTAAAAATGTAAACATGAAAAATTTTTCTTTATTAGTATTTCGTTATATTTGAATAACTTTATTGTATTGTCTTTGTTATTTACTACAAGGTTGACAAAATAGGGCTAATAAAATAAATAAAGTGGTAACCGTGAATGGAATACGAATGAATTTGAGGTTTCCCACTGTGTTAGACAATAACATTTTATTTGGGTTTAAGAGATATCTTTATTTGTTAAATTTTTATTTAGAAAGTCACATAGCACAGGGCTTTCTTTTTAATGGGTATTTTTTTAATAAAAAGTTATTCTAAACATGAATAATCAATGTGTCAATTAGTATTATAAGTAAAATCATTATGTAAAGATTAATGCCCGAGCACGTTCTCAACGAATCTTAATTAGGCAAGGATGTGCTTTATTCCCACTTTTGTGCTGGAAACTTTCTTCATCGAACAGAGGGGCATACATTGAGGACTGCGTCACAAACTATGCGACCTTGAATATGCGGATGACCTTTATTAAACCATTTGTCAGTTAATATTTTATTATATTATTATTTAATATTCATATAATTGGAATGAAATGAATTAAATTGATAAATATTAAATAGTCCTTATATATTAATTTCCCACTTGTGCACTAATTATTATATGGCAACCCTTGCTTTTGCCTTTTTAAGTAAGCTTTGAGCAATGCAGCTTCATTTCTTCATTGTAGACAATGTTACGAAAAATTAAAAAAATTCTTTTTGATCATTAAAAGTTTTTCGTGACGCCCGAACATGGACTATTTTAAATTGAATTGAATTTAAATTGAAGTAAACTTGGGTTAAGGTTAAGAAACCTAGCTACATTAATAAGACTGGTGAAAAGACAGATTGGGCTCAAGTTAGTGTGTGTTCTGTGACATGAAAACAAGTGAAGTGAAGATATTTATAAGTTTGAACTATCGATTGTTCCATCGATAATATGGATGCATCTTTATTCCGTCTTTTTTGTAGACTATAATTTTGTGCTCTCCCTTTCTTGATTCTCTCCGATATTATATATCGGCAATTGCATATTGTAAATAATAAATATAATTTTTATTCTTTTTATAACATAAAAAATTTTATTCGCATAGATTATTTTTTTAATTTTTCTAGTTTTTTAAAATTTGTTTAATATATGTTATAAAAATTAATACTTAAATTTTATATAGAAATATTACGAATATACAGTCATACTTTACATGCATTGTATAGTTAAAACTATTTATTTAGAGTTAGAGATATTATCAGTATTTTTTTTTTAAATAAAAAGTCTTTAAATTAATTATTTAAATAAGTTTTAAATTTTCCTAAATAGTTACGAAATTCGAACTTGTAATACTTGGTAGTAATCGTTAGTTAACTATTATGATCCATATTTACTGATACCGCATTAATAAAAAAAAATTATATCAGTTTTTAATATTATATGAAAGCATACTTGCACATGGAATATGGAGTCAATCTCGAAAAAAAATTTGTGGAACCGAGATCGATTCATTCAACCTCTTCCTAAAAGGTTAATTCGATGTCTCTAACACCAGAAATTTAGTTTGCTTTTCATTAGACAGAGAAACCCACATAGTTAACTCGGTTCGTTTAGTTAAGTTGATAATGAACTAGGTAATTTGAATGCTCTTTGACAAACATTGCAATAATATATACACCCTTATCCAGCTCTTGAGAGGAATATAGAGAATATAAATTATTCGAATGAATATAAAAAAAAAGTAAATTTATCTAAAAACTAGAAGAAAATAAAATTAGCTAATTGAAACAATAGGTTTCGACATGAGACTCTTTTTTAATTTTGCTGCCGCACTAGACTTTAAGCCGTTTAATTCATTTTTTACGTTTTTATGTTTAACTCCTAAAGGAATCATAGTTGTATCCTGCAAACGTCTTCGGAAAAGTTTGTAGAATTGTAATACTTGTGGATTTGCCCAAACTTGCTTAGTATCAAAATCTAGCACCCGTAAAGAATCTAGTGATTTGGCACGTGAAAGCGCTACATAGGCCTGTCCCGCTTCAAATACTTTGGACAGTGACATTTCAACACAGTCCAATGTTAAACCTTGGCTTTTATGTATTGAAAATGCCCAAGCTAGTTTAAGTGGTATCTGCCGACGTGAAAAAATGGCTCCACCAACTGATTTTATAGACCACTTTTCGTGCTTGCATATATATTCGACATTATTTTTAAAACGTACAACCGGAATACCCTTCTCAATGCGTATCACTACGCCCCGTGCTCCATTTACCAGTCCAGTATTTACATTTATGTTCTTAAGTAACATGACTTGCGCATTTAATTTTAAATACAGTTGTGAAGGTGCTTGTACCTGCGAATCCAATTGTTTCGACATTGAGGCATCGGAATCTTCAGCTCGAAAAAGTATCTTTTCTCCAGAAAGATTCTCTAACTTGGACTCATTAATTGAGTTTGCGTCATTTGTATGAGAGCATAATTGGGTGGCAAGTATACCATTAGCTTCGATCTTTTGTTTTGAAGTAGCCAATAGGCGTTTCGCTATCTCTTCATTAACATGTCCGATACGAATATGATTAAGGATTTTTATGAATTCTGGATCATTTTGTCTGTGTACATTTCTCAGCTCAAACACACATTGTATGCATTTTTCCCAGGTACTTGATTGAAAACAAAACCGTTGTGATTGACTAGATGCCAAAACTTCTTTGCTCACAACTGGCGGAAGCTGTAAAAAGTCTCCACATAATATCAGTTGAATCCCACCAAAAGGACGATCATTTCTGCGTATATGACGGGCAACATACTCCATTTTCTAAAAAAAATATTTTTTAAAAAAATAAATATTTGTTTAAAAAATGTATTGTATTGCTTTAATGTAAAGTTATCGCATATTCATTTATGTTTTATAACATGGATATATCAAGAATACAAATGTATAATAAATTCCGCAACTAATAATAAAATTTATGGTTATTGCTAAAATAATTTGAACATCTATTTTTGATCTTGACAGAGTAAAAATTGAGGATCAAGGCTAATTCTGAACCTCCAAAATTATTAAAATTTTTTTTTAAATACCTCAAAAAATTTTCCATCTACCATAGAAATTTCGTCAATTATGAGAACTTTACATTTACGCCAACCCTGCGCAGAAGCACTGCGAGAAGCCAATTGTACGCAGCGTTCCAAAGTAGATTCTCCTGTGCCTATACCCGCAAAAGCATGCAACGTTACTCCTCCTGTTATAAAAAAGTATGTATATATTAAGAGATGTTACCAATATATATTCCATAAGGTTATACCTATTAAACACGCAGCTACACCTGTTGATGCAGTAGCAACTGTTCCATCAGGTGGTAGAGTCGATATAATTTTTTTTAACAAGAAACTTTTCCCTGTGCCAGCCGATCCAGTGAAAAACACATTCTTACCAGATTTGCATGCATGCAGCACTTCAAGTTGCTCTTCACATAAGGGCAAACTATCTTCTAAGAAAAAAGATGGTTTTTGTTGCAGTTTTTTAGCATGAGGTTCATTGGACGAATCATTACTGCTGAGATCTTCCAACTTTCGCTTTTTATATGCTAACGGTGAAACTCCAGCAGCGGAATTTCTCAATAATCCCGCCTTTCTTTTAGCTATTATAAGTTCGTTAGACGTTATTGGAGATACTTCCTCAAATGAATTAGGTTTGGACAACATATGTCTTGGAACACTATTGCGTAACGGAGTTTCATTGTTATCTGTACCATTTAACTTAATATATATAATTCGAAGAAATCCTACTAATGTATCCGGCGGAGCGTTTGAAAAATACATGGTGCATTTTTCTGATCGAAAATTAATGGATGCTTTTCCTTCAGCCATAAATTTTTTATGCACCAACACTTCTTTTAATTTAAATTTAATTGGTTTAAGTTTCTCCGGCGTCATTTCCAGAAAAAGTTCACGCATATCATTGCGAATGAGACGCATTGTTGCTGATCGGTAAGCAATTTTACGTCCAATTGCTCCAGCAGAAGTCGTCCACTCAACGGTTACACTACATGTCATCACAGCGTTATTAAGATCCATTCTTAAAAGCAATCTTATTTCATAAAACAATTACTACAACCTTATTTTAGTAACTACCAACAAATATACAAACTGAGCGCGCCAACACCGAGCTCTGCATAACCTGTTTACACTAAAAAGCATATTGCGTTCAGCAGTTGACAGAAATGACATATGTACCTACCAGAGAAGATTTTTTAAAATTTTCTTTGGTACCTACCTACGCGTTACCATAGAATATAACGAGAAACGATCATTTGAGTTGCAAAAAAAAAAAAAATAGGTAGAAAAATTTATTGGTAAAATTTTTAGAGTATTTAAAGTATTTGAAGTAGTAGTTAAACACTACTAACAAAATAACTACGCTGTGACACAACATACATAAATGCGCTCTTAGAAAAAATCAAAAAATCTCCATAGCGTGATTTGTTTAAAGTTATCTTGGAGGAAAATAATTGGAATAAAACTTTCTATATTCAATATATGTATTCTCTTTTGACAGCTTCTCACCCTAGTTATGGTGAATTTTTTGTTTTAGGTGAAAAGAACTCATCTAAAAAAGTACTCAAGTCCATTTTATACAGACATTTATGATCACATCAAATGTGAAATTGTTTTACTTTTAATCTAAAAAAAAAGTTTTACTTCTAATTATGATATCAAAAACAATTTTAAATTCAATAAATAATTTGTTTTTCATTTAACATTATAATTTTAATTACTCAGCGACTGATTTATCAGTACCCTGGATTTGTGGGTTTTAACTCGTCATTCGCAATTAATTCGCCTAATATATTAACTGCACTATTATAATCAATAAAAAGATTAAAAAAGTGCTCTCCTTGGCTTAAGTATGCTCTAAATATCTACTACTATATTCCTTTGTTGTTTTTGCTGTGAGAGACCCCAGTTTTGTTATTTTTGAAAAAAGTAGATCTCTTTATTAATAAAATTTTCTTAATTAATAAAAAATTAAGTTAAATGTCATCAGACATATTATCCAACTGGGCTGACTACCATCATACAAATGTGCCATTATTGAATATTAACCACAATATATAGCACAACTTACATTCAGGTTACTAAACAAGTTATAATGAAAACTTAACTATGAACTACATCGCTTGATAATTAATTTAATTTTTTTTTGTGGCCAATGAAAATCTTTTATCAGAGAAGTATATTATATATTATTTTTGAGTTTTTTGCTTACTTTGTTTAAATTCATATGTAAAACATACTAGTTGCAGTGAAAAAAATGTCAATCCGGTAAATATCCGGTATATCCGGACAAGATTGTATTACATCTGTAGGTCTTCTATTAAAGATGCCATTAATCTCATGACGCTGATATAACAACACCTTAGTTCAGTTAATAAGTCTTAACTTAGTAGGTTCACATCGAGAATAATATCTTCTACATCACGCAGCATGATCTTAGTATAGCAGAGACTATGGCAGATTAGTACTATATTATCTTAAAAATATTATCTGAGAAACCATTATTTTGCTACGAAGTGATTTGAATATAATAAAAATCATGTCTTTCACTAGCTAAATGTTTAGTTTAGTTATAGAATAAGCGATGTATTGTAGTCAAGGTTTACGTTTTGATTTCAAAAAACTCTTCATAGACTTGTGGTAATATAAATAAAAAACGATGAATTTAACAATTATCTATATATATATATCAATTATATATATATGTACATATCTCTTAATTTGTCAAACAAGTATTCTCTTTTTTTTATGCTATTCAAATAAAGCACATTTTTAATAGCGTCTTTACATTCAATAGCGTCCACATACAATACAACTTTAAAAAATAATTTTAAATAATAACTAACTATTAAAATATACGATACATGTAAAAATGCAGTTTTCTATATAGTTTAAGAAAATATAATAAGAATGTACATAACTGATTTGTTTACCATTAAACCTATGTGGGCCAAGCATATTGAGACTTTGGCAACACCAAATATAGCTTATCATATCCCTCACATTATTCTGAATAGATATTGTATCAGAAATGTCGACTCTGAAGACGATATGTAGTCACTCTACAGCCAGCATGACACGCTAATCAATTTATCGAAATCCGTCTGTCTGGATGGCGGAATGAAACCTTGCACAAATAGATCCAGTTAATATATAAATAAAAGTAGAAATAATTGAATTCGATATAATAGTAAAAAACAACTTTGAAATTACCATAGTTTTAATGAATTAGTTTCGATAAATAATGGTAAATAATTAATTCATCCATTTAAAACTCTGAGGAAATCAAAATAAATTTTTTTTTTAATTATTGCAAATGATGTGGAAAAGTAATAACTACCAAAATTTTGAAAAGCAAAAATGATATATTGTTCTATATTAAAAAATTTTTTCATATTATTGTTAATTTTTAACGGAACGGGACGAGACCGGACGTAATTAATATAAATTTATACGTAATTAATTTACCATGTAAATTATAAAAGAGCAGAACTTACCACATATATTTTAGGAGCAGAATGATAACAATGCGGTGGTTTTGGTTAGGCTGGAATGATCGACTCATACACCAAAGCCCGCTTGATCCAAATATTGACTCCAGCCGCTGTGGTACCACTGATGAACGTTGTTGAAACACTTGAATAAAAGGACCATGCAAATAGCTAAAAATATGGATGTGGTTAAGTTTCAAACAATGTTGAAAATAAGTGACTTCCACATCTAAGGACGTGTGCGAGTTAGGCTAAGTTGATGCTAAACCAAATGGGACTTTTCTTGGGATTTTTTACACTGCACACATTTAGCCATTTATCAACATGTATCGACACATCACTACATTATCGGCACAACTTAGAATTTCCCTCATTTAGAACGCAACTTAGCCTAACTCGCACACGTCCTAAGTAAAAAAAAACCAACCTGATAAGTGATTAAACTTGAATATATTGATAATTTTAAATGATGATTTCTGAGTAAGGTGAAGCACAGCATTCTCGTCCCCTGCCACAACCGGTCGCTTCTTGAAATATTATGTTTAGAGATCCATATTCCTAAATTTACAAGAAAATACTGGTGAATAAATTGTACTTTTTATATAGATTTGTTTTTTTTAGATATGTTTTAGGGACAAATCTTAAGTAATTAAAAAACTTAAATACTACAACACCAGGCATAAAAACAGGAAGTAGTGTTATTGCCTTCTTAGTAAATACAATTCAAGTTAATTAAAATATATTCCTTTGAAGGAACCTTATTACTTTTATGAAATGAAGCCATTTCATTGCCCCATTGATAATAGGGCTCAAGTTAGATGTTTGAGCCTGATGTATTTGCTCCATTGCAGTTACTGTCGATGTATTCATGGTATTCTCTCCGGAAAAAATTTTAACACAGCATATAAATGGTCACCATGCCATCGCACATAGTTGAAACACAGAGGACTAAAATTTGACATGATTTGATATTATTCTCTTGTTTATTGCTTTGTATGTGTCTAGTAGGGTTGCTTTATCTTTTCGTCAAGAATAGTATGGGAGTACTTTCAGTATATTTTTTCGACTCTTCAACCGACTCCATAATACAATGGTATAAACTTAAATGATAGCAAACTATTAAGAATAATAGCTAGGATTTTAGTTTTAAAAGTTCTGACATGCTGAATTAACCGATTAAAATGACCAGTCAATTAAACCTCTAGGATGGCCAAAGATTTTTTTAGTGAATAACAGAAGGTTTTAATTTTATAGCATTTTAAAAAGTTGTGCCCAATGGCGAAAATTGTGCAATAAGTGGTAACATTATGAACCTGACTATCTGTGGGGGGTAATAGAGTTTGAACATATATAGATTGAAAATGATCGGTGAAAGTAAACTGTACTGAGAGACAAACTGTTTCTATTGCTTAATTTCTGACATTTTCAATCTGAAATTGATAAAATGTGTTCTATCCACTATATTGTTGTAAATCCATGGTTTCGTAAAAGATGGATATTTAAGGTCATTTACCAGAATAAATTGAATGTTACTTTCAATCACCTTTGCAAACTCAAGGCCTACTTATACAGCGCGCCCATATCGCATCTGAGAAAAGTCATATTGTTTTGGAATTTCCTGAAACTTCGTTGATTGGGAGCAAGATGAATAATTGTCCAAATTTATTTAATAATCAAACAATCTACAAAACTGGCTACCGAAGAGAGGTATTGTTGTAACTCAGAGACCGGCAATCTGCCGCCTGAAAAAACGAATGGCTCTGAGATATACACGCGGATACTTGTGTAACCCTACTTGTCTGTTAGACCTTCGGGAACCGCACAGTTTTTCAGACGACAAAGTGTCGCTTCATTCTACCAACGGGGCCAAAAAATTAAGAATCTTTGAATTACAACAACAACGACAAAATTTATATATGTATATGTCCTTTTTCATAACTTAGTTTCATGTTGTTATTGTTGTGGTAACTCGTGGATGTCTATATAGCAGATAACATGAAAGAAATTAAAAAATACGAAAAACGAAGTATGAAACGGATGGGGATTGTTTGGGTACAAGAGTCGATTGAGGAACGGTGTTTTATTGTAATCTGCAAGGATCTGCTTATGTAGTCCCTTTTAGGTATGACGACCGGCACTCGATCGTCGAATTCGATAAAATGGGCTCCGGGATATAGATCCGTTTTTGGAATCAAGGGTATTAGACAACGTGGCTGCATTCAAAGATGTAATCTGCGGCAGTTAAGAACTTAAACTGATTTTATTAAGTTTGAAATCGTTCAATTCTAGCGATTATGCTTCAGAAAATTAAGTGCTTTCGCAGTAACAACTAGTAAAATTGCCACAAATTACGCTTCCAACATTTGATGGCAATTCATTAAGGTGGGTGGAGTTTCGTGATTTGTTCACACAATTGATAGACATGCAAGCATTTAAGCCAATTCAAAAAATGTTTTATTTGGCTACAAATTTGGTTGGAGTCCAAAAATTTTGTAAAATATTTGCCAGCATCTGCAGAAAATTACACAACTGTGTGAAAAATTTTGACATCTCGTTATGATAACAATCGTCTCTTGGTCACTGCATTACTTATGTTGAGTCAACTGACTGATGTTAATCAGAAAATTCTTCAGGATTCAAATCGCTGCACGATGTTAATAAAGAGTCTATCTTGAGTTTGGATACACAAGGCATTCCTCTAGAACAGTGGAATGCACATCACTTGGTGCACATCATTTTATAATTTTTAGTCTACTATATAATATAAATGAGATTAATGAGGAAACGCGAAGTTTTCAAAAAAGAGCATGTACAACTTATATTGGTTCCATCATATTACACGTGTAGAAAATTTAGAAGTTAAATAAAAATAAAAGGAATCTGAAGATTCTTTGGAAGGACAAAGTTTGAAATGAAGAAGTTCTAACAAGATTAAGAAATGATAGAGAACTCCTAAAAACTATCAAAATAAGAAAAACGAGGTCTTTTGGTCATATCATCCGAAGACCAAAATAAGAATTGCTGCAACTGATTGTAGAAGGCAGAATCGAAGGCAAATGCGGCATGGGAAAAAAACAAATGTCTTGGTTGTGGAACTTCCAACACTAGACTGGGTTAAGGACGATTGGAGACTTGGTACATACTGGTATAGACAGAGAAATTGAAGTTCTAGAAAGATTACTTCTAAGATATTGTAATTTATATGATTCAATTTTTGAATAAACAATTAAAGAAAGATGTAACATGGGATGAATGAGGAAATGAGAAGTTTTCAAACAAAGAGCGTAGGCAACTATATTGGTTCCATTATATGACGCATTTAGGATTACAACTTTGTGTCATTTAGGATTACAACTTGTTTAGGATTACACGTTAGAATTAAAAAGAAAAGAGTATAGTATTTATTAATACTTGTTTTCTGCGGGTAACAGATTGTATTTGAAATGATTTAGCGTACTTTGCATATTTAAAATTTATTTTTATAACATATTGCCTTATTTTATTTAACGTTAGACTTAATAATAAAATACAATATCTTTTGTTGTTCACCATTTGTATTTTTGTTACTGATACTTCTTGCATGGAGAAGTAGTTTAAATTTAATAATGCAATTCTCAATTACAAAATGCGCAAAAATTTCATAGGGCATTTACAAAAATGCGTACCTAACATTTAATATTTAATTTGTTATATTACCACTTGCATTATATGATTTTATTTAACTATATATTTTTAATTAATAAATTTTTTTTGTTGGTTTTTTGAAATATTAAATGAATTTTTAAAGAAATAATTAATATTTGCCAATTCATTATTTTTAGAACAATAGAAAGAGATTACATTTGCTTTCTTAATAAAATATAATTTTTGTAAATCAATGTTTTTACATACATATATCAAATTATTATTTATTTGTGTTTTAATTTTATTTATTTTTATTTAGGTTTTAATTAATGTTGTTTAAACACACCGTTTAACGGCTAAAAAACTTCAAATCACAGAAATTCATTTCAGTTATCAATTCAAAGGAGTTGGCTTATGGTACTATAAATTTGTAAATTGCAATTTGTCGTTTCATTTTTCCTTCTATTTTACATTACTTTTCAGTATTAATTTTGGGTGTTTCTGCAAGTACCAATAAATAGTTCGGATAACGAGTAGATAACGAGAAGTAGATTAGCCTTCACGTTTAACTAATATCCTTTCATTCAATTATGCAAAAGGAAACGGAATACAAGTTTTTTATTTATTTTTTTAGTTTGTTTTTATATTTTGCTATTGTTCGTATTTATTTCTTTGTTTTTAAAGCCCAAACCATCAGTTAAGATTTTTGAAATAAACTAATTCATTATGAAGCTACCACTGTAACAAATCTATAAGCTTTCAGAAAGCCATCTTTTACCAGTAGCTTTAACACATTGCGCACATTTCGTTCAATTAAAATAACTTAACATAGTCACAATAATTCGGTTTTAATTTACCTCGGTTTTAATAAATATAAATATATTTATAATATAAATAAGAATTAATCAAAACTTAATATCAACATATTCATTTTTTTATCTTGAGATTTCTTAAAAAAGTTTTCTATAAAAATTTAAATTATGTTTTGAAACAAAGTAACAATTTTTTGAATGGTCATATTGGATTACATTTAATTTAAGCAATATAATCACTTTTTCATTTTGCCAAACTCAGCAAAATAATACATAACATATACACACAAGTATTGTTTATAACACTATGGCAAAAAACTATAATTATACTTAAGCAAATATATATAAAAGGTTATTCAAGGGTTATAAAAATAAAACAAAAAACAAAAACGTTTGACAAATATTTTTAATGAATAAAAATTACTAAAGCATTGTAGCTCATAAATGTCGTTGCAACTTTACTGTGGAATCTTTTCTTTTTACAAATCAAACGTGTTCTTTTGTTTTATAACAAATATTTTTCTACGAAAATACAAATTTCTTTTTCTTTTTTTTTTTGTTTTGTTAGACAAGCTTTCGATTAGTGCTGTTCAAAATCAGATTTTTAGAATATTTTCAAATAGTTTAAATATCAAATCTGGATAGTTCAAATCGGTCAAACTTTTCAAATAGTTCAGATAGCCATTTTGTTTCACATAGTTCGAATACTGAGAAATTCCGAATAATTCTAACAATTCGAATAGTTTTAATTCTATGTGTTATTACATGACTTGCTACCTAATGATGAATTAACTCGGAAAATTCAAACTATTCGAATAAATTATATAATTCAAATTATTCGCATAGTTCAAATAATTCAAACCATTCAAATAGTTTGAATAATTCAAACAATTAGAATAGTTCAAATAATTCAAATTATTCGAATAATTAAAAAAATTCAAACCATACAAATAGTTCAAAAAATTCAAACCATTGAAATAATTAAATTAATTCAAACTATTAAAATAATACTAGAATTACACAAGAGTTTTTTTTGTAATTTAAGCTGTCAATGTTTGTTGCTTTCAATGCAAAATAAAAATTTTTGACAGCTAAAATTACAAATAAAACTCTCGTGTGTATCCAGTATAATTCAAACTATTTAAATAATGTAACTATTTTTATTTCACATAGTTCGAATACTGAGAAATTCCGAATAATTCTAACAATTCGAATAGTTTCAATTCTATATGTTTTTGCATAACTTGCTAGCTAAGGATAAAATAGTTCAAAAAATTCGACTATTCGATTAGTCAATATATCATTTTCGTATCAAAAAGTTTAAATACTGAGGAAAAATAATTTAAATTTTGAATTGTGTGACCTGCACGTTAGCTTTAAGGTTGAATGAAATTAAAATTCTCATATGATTTATATATATATATATGTCATTACTATACAAATCATTATTGGAATTAAACAAATTATAAATGAATTAACAATTATCATAATTATATACACATATAAATAAATTTATGGATGAATAAAGATACCGAAAATGTTTTTAAAATAACTTCAATATAGCACAAAAATAAATTATAAAAAATAAAAATATTTTATGTCCAACACACTATTAAACTCATTACTTTCACTGTAACCTAATAATATAGAATACAGTAGCTAGCCACTGTAGCTTAACCGTCCATAGTATTACAGAAATACATTCGGTGAGCTCCATTTTTTGCTACTATAACTACACACTGTAGTTTAATCGTGCACTGGTCATTATTGTAAGAATATATTTTTAATAATATAATTACATTCTCTTATTAAAATACAAGACATTTTCTACACTTCTATAACTATATTTATAAAAAATTTCTTAGATTAACTGTAAAACGGTAAACATATATCACAAAATAACTGAAGATTTGTTTACTTTCCACTCATTTATAACGTGACGACATCTACAAACAATATGAGAACTGTAAACTTCATTTAACTTTGATTCGTGCCTCGGAATTCGTATAATACACATAAAATTCAAACCATTTACATTTTTTAAAATTTCAAATGATTTAATAAAAAAAGGAAAATTCGAATTATTCGAATTTGTTCACTATTCAAATGATTTGATAAAAAATGAAGATCCGAATCATTCGAATTGTTTGAACTATTTTATATAAATCTGAATATTTATGATCATCGAATAGTTCGAATATTAAATAATTGAAATAATATGAATAACACTACTTTCGATATATAGAATACATATACCTGTAGTTTGAAATTATCAACAAAAGAACATTAAACTTTTCCATCGAAAAATGAATTTAAAATTACATCCTCTTTATAAATAACTATTGCAAATCAGCATTACCTAAGTCATTACTCAACTCATTGCTAGCACCAGCACTAGTATTACTTGAAGATTGGGAATTAGTTCCAATTTCAGAGGCGTTATTAGGCACTGAGGCATTTGATGCACCACTTGGCTGCTGCGGCAATTGCAGATGCTGGTATTGTCGTTGTTGGTCTAATTGTTGCGGATCCAACTGCTGTTGTTCTAACATTTGTTGTTCTAACAGTTGTTGCTCTAACAATTGTCGCTCCAATTCTAATTCTTCTTGCATTTCCTGCATAAGGAATTCTTTGTTTTGATGCCAATACATAACAGGAATACGCAAAGTTGTAGTTAATGTATCATTGTGCTCTTCCAGAGAATTTGTCGCATAATGATCCACTAATTTGTTTAAGGTGTGATAAATATTATATGGCGCCGCAAAACCGTAACCACTTTCAGCTTCGTTAATAATGCAATGACTAATGACACCCTTACAAACTATCGAAAGTGCATAATGTCCAGCAGAACGAGCACGTATAAGAAATGTTCCTGTTGGAGAGCCCTTTAACAATTCTTCTGCCTGATGACGTAGACAATCTTTAAGGAACCACATTGACTCGTCATTGTGTGGTTGATTAGAGACACTTTCGTAACGCTGTTGCCAAGCTTCGAAACCCATTTCAATGAGTTGTTTAATATCTTCTTCTTTAATGCCAACTTCCAACAAACGTCTAAAATACAAATAATATATTGGAAATGTTTTAAATAAAATAAAATAATATAATTAACTATTTTTTATAATAAAATTTTAAATATTTATGAATTCGAAAGTATTTTGAAGACTTATTTTAAGCATTTTAACTAATGGAAAACCATTTAAAGTATTTGTAAATATAACTATCAATCATTATATTGTTAACATAAAACTAAATTCATTGGTTTTGATCTTTAGAGAAAAAATAAATAAAATAAAAAGACAAAACCAACTTTTTTGTGTCGTACAAATGAAACTGATTCAAGAAAACACGACCACTTCTGAAATTAGTCATTTCATTGTGTCAATTTCTACTTGTGTGGAAAATTGTATATTTTTTCAACTTTCTATATTTCTATGCATCGATTTTCACATCCTTCTTTAAACTAATCAATCGAAATTTAGAAGAAACTATTATTTGTTGCTAACTTTGAGCAAAAAATTAACTAACAAGAATAATTAAAATTCTGTTTTTCATTAAAGAAAGTTAAAATATACAAGTTCTTCAAATACAAACGCTTTTATCTAAGTTCACAGATCAATTTGTTAGTAACGTTTAAACTTAAACACTTATTAATTCATTTTTTTAATGACAAGCTAATCTTGGTGCCTTATCTACGTTTTTGCAACACATGAGGTTAACAATCTGCACAAATGGGACTCAGTCCCATAGAGTTGCAAAACCTCTTGAGACTTTATCCAGACTAGTTTCGGTAACAACCTTTATTCATTTTCTCTTTTCTATAAATTTCTTCTAATTCATGTAATACTAAACGTAAGTTTTGGTCAGGATAATGAACGTTAAGCAGTAGGACCTTCAAATTGATCTTTCATTATGTTAAATTCCGCTTCTTAAAGAACCATGGAAATAGTAAACGAAAATACACATTTCAGATTTCCTAAAGTGTAAGATTGATTAGCTAGACTGTCTAACCCGAAGTGCTTAAATTGCACCACTGGGTCCTTTGGTATATCTTGATTGAATTATAAATATCATGTTACACAATTATTAAGTCTGTCCACGTTTTATGTTATGAATGTTAAGATTTTAAAAGAAAAATGTATACATTATTCATATAATGTATACATTTATATATGTATTAAAATAAACAAAATATGTTTGTGATAAATATCAACTTACTCTGTAAATTTTTCTTTTCGCACAGTCAATTCTTGTAACTCAGGCTTAGCAGAATTAATTTGTCGCTCTAATGTTTTATATTCTTCTTTTTTCTCTTCAACGTAGCGGTTTAGTTTATCCATCGCAGTGCACAGATTTAACATTCGCGCTTCAAGTGCAGCTGAATTTATTTGGAGTTGGTCGTTTTCTTGTTGGCGGGCAGCATTCCCCGCACTGTTCGCACAGATACCTCCTTGTGGTGCGGTGGTTATGTACGTTTGAATTAATGTTAACTGATTTTGAAACATTTTTGCTCCGCGTTGATACACTTCCTGATGTACTTTCATTTCGTTTAGTTCATTTTCAATTGACTTAAATACTTTTAACTTTTGGTCGAGATTTTGTTGATGTTTGTTAAGTAAATGATGATGGGATAAAAACTGATCTGCAAGGAAACGTAAATCTCCATATCGTTGAGTTTCTTCGTCTTCTAATGGGCGCACTATAGGATTGCTTAACGTTATATCAAGCATTTTATTATACAACTTTAACGAATTCACTTTATAATAATTAATTAATTCCACTACAGAATTAAATATACAATCGACGAAACCGTATTTCCCATTCGAATGGCATATTTTTATTAATTTTTCAGTGCCATCTTTTATAAGTGTCAGCGTGTATTCGCCTTCTTTCGAGAGAGCATCACGCACTAAAAAACTTCCATCAGGTTGTCCGGAAAGAATGTTTTTAACCTCCTCCCTTGTAATTTTTCCCCAGTACCATTCCGCGTTACGCATTTCTTCAATATTTGAATCATGTAAAATTCCTGCGCCGCCAAGAGGCTGCGGACGCATTGTGGAATAATGTATTGGAGAAGAATACACTGTTTTTATTTAAAAGAAGAAAAATATTTAGCGAAACAATAAGCAAGTTGTTTAAATATTTTGTAGAAACAATTTTAATAATAGAAATATATTATTTAGACAATGATATTATTAGCCGTACTTACTTTTTATATATATATATTATTCCTTTCTTTCACCAAAAAAAAGTGAACTATAAAGTTTTACGGTTTTTATGACACTTTGTAGCTTTTATATTTTCCTTATAAAATTTTTTACATGCAGGATTCATTTATATCGGTATACAAAATAAAAATTTTCCTTATATATGCAGGAAATTGGACAATATGCTGCGAAAACCACAATTGTTACCTTTTAGCTTTAACTTTTATCATTTTAATATAATTTGTATACCATACGAGAAAACATTTTCAGAACAATTCGGCTGAAATAGCTCACGATGTGCACGGAACGTTTAGCACACTGAAACAAAAATTTGTGATGAAAAGTGTTAAAAGATGTGAAACCATAAATCTAAAATGTTTATCAATGTGTATGTGTAAACTTGTTACACCATTTATTTCAATATATTTGATATTAACAATATACGTACACTTTTTATTGAATATAATTTGCAATTAAAAACCATCTCATATTTAAAAAAACTGTAATTCATATTTCACATGCATGAAACTTATCTTCACCCAGAAAAATTGTAAAATTTTGTAAAGATATGATTTTGTAATATTGCGACGCATCGATTTACTGCTGAATTATACCATGTTTTTATGGGTTACTGAGTAAGTTATTTATGTAACTTAAGAATTTGTCATTTCCACTGACACAAGGTAATTATTGCACGTCAAAAAATTCCTTGAAAGTTTTAAGAGAGCTTCTTTTTGTTTAAGAAAATTTCACTCAATAATAAATTACACATAAATTACACATACATCTACATATATTACATATTCAATTTATTATATATTTAATTTATAAAAACAGAGAGATTATTAAATACTTACTTTCTTAGTATGTATGTTTACAGCTCAGCTGTTTGTTTACATATTACATGTAAAACATATGACAAATATTTCAAATTTTGGTGATTTCCCAAAATTTCCCAAACTTAATATTAAGAATTAAATTCAATATTTTTGGTTTATTGTCGTTGTAGTAACCTGATAAGATCTGCTTGTAGTCCCTTTGGGTGGTGTTGAAGAGCGCTATGTCAAAAATTATATGTAAACAAAAATTCAAACTAGTTTCAAATATTTCTTAAATTTGAAAATTGGAACAAATAAAAATTTGAGTGTTTCATTTTGAAATTTTTAACATTTTTGCCATTCCTTTTAATTTTGTATTTATTTTAATTTTCAATTTATATTGATTATTTATTTTTATACAAAATGTAATTTGCTTTCATTATGCTATTTTTGCTATTTACCAAAACATAACACTTGACAGATTGCAACAGTGATGCCAATGTCTCGCGTAGCCAATATAGGCCAGCATGCATTTTTTGCTTTCTTGTGAACCACCGAAAAGGCCTCATATAAAGAATGTTCTTTAACTTACTTGAAAGTAGTTATTAGAATTAGATCAAAATTAGATCAAAAATATCGAATATAACTCCTAAAAATAAATTTCACACAGGAGAAATTACCAAAATTTGAAATATTTGCCATATGTTTTACATGTAAAATGTAAACAAATAACAGTTGAGCTCTAAACAACAAACGCACTGAGGAAGTATGTATTAGATAAAATCTTTGTTTTTATTAGAGAATGTATTAAATATATATATATATATATGTATATTGCAACATATAAATATATGTATAAATATATATATCAATTATACATTTTTTTTGTAAGATATTAGCCGTAATTGTTTCTTTCAGAGTTTTAAAATACAGCAATAAGTCTGATTGAAACAAATTGGCATCACTTTTAAAATATGTTAAATGTTTATTTTTGAATGTTTTTTGTTGTGTAATATATGATATATAAAAATATATATAATCACCAAAAATTAATTAATTTAAATAAAAGAAAACAAAATGGATATTAGAAGGGCACTGATTAACAATTTTATCTTATATATTTACATTAATTTATTCATTTATGTATTTGAATTCATTAGTAAATGAAGCTTGCATGTGTAACACTTCAAGAGTAAGCTTACGGTTTAGGGATTTTCATCTCGAACATTTATTCCTTCTCACGATTGATGAAGAGAGATGACGAATGCTGTCTGCTGATGTCCTTATCGCTGCTGAGGTAAGCTGGTTTCAACTTGTTTATTGCAAAGGTATACTTGCTCCCTCTCTTATTATTTACAAAATCCTTATTCACTCGCTGCACTACATGAAATGGTCCTTTATAAGGCTGTTACAGTGAGGCGTTTACAACGCGCACGAACACGAACTTACTGGTTATTAAATCATTGGGAATTATGTAATTTTGTTATTACTAAATTACGGCAATTTACTGGGATGAACATTACCATTATATATTATATATTTCGCAAAATACTGTAGTATTGGAGATGGGTAGAAGTGTCGGCTGCCTAACATGTCGTGGCTAAGTTTTATCGCAGTTTTGTCTGAACGTATGGTATATATAAGTGGTTAAGGTCAGTTAAAAATACAAATTCACGTACTTTGAGTGCATACTTAAAATGCTGGATGATTTGGGCAATGATGGTCAGCTCTCGATTATACGCGCTGTTATTTAACCGTGCTGTGTTCTACGCCTTTAAAACGTACGCTAAAGATTGAATCTCGCCTCCACAATCTACTGCAAGACAGCATCGACCACCGTATCGGAAGCATCAGTGGTTAGTATTCATTGTCAAAAAGGCGCCATAAAGTTGAGTTACGTAGCAGGTACTATATCTGCTGCAATAAGCCTCGAATACGGTAATGTCTTCTGGCTTTTAGATGATTTTACTATTGTCGTTTTTGTGATTTCCTGGATTAAGATTGAATAAACATCGCTGGTTGCAGATGGTGTTAATAATATACGGTAATAATGGACGGTAAATCCATTATTACCGTCCAGGAGAAGACGGTAGATTTCCTTCACCTTTAATGAAAGTAAAAAGTCAAGTATTGCAGCTTTTTTGCTTTCGGGGAGCTTGAAACCGTACGCGGTTGCCGTCAGACCAGCTTGCTGAAGCCGCTCAAAAACCATTTAAAGATTCGGTGTTCTGAAGGGTCTTTTGATGCAATCAGTATGTCGTCGATGTACGCGAACACGAATCTTAGCCCAATCAAAGTTGCACTAATAATTCGTTGGAATGTTTGAGCTGCGGTTCGTAAGCCAAAAGTCATGAAACAGAATTTCAGTAAACCCAAAGGAATAGTAATCGCCATGTTCTTCGCATTTTGCCACTGGAATCTGGTGGTACGCTTTCTACGTACCACCAGACGTCATACAGAAAGGATTCTAAAATACCATATGCAACTTTTAGACGGTTGACAGATGCCGTTTGTAATAAGTACTGGAATTCTTCCTTCACTTCCGCCACTTCCTCCAATTTGGCTCCATTAAGACGTCGTGGTCGAGGAAGCGTATTCCAGTGTATCTAGATCGCTATATTCGCCCATCAAGTAGGTGCACTCGTCAGTTGGCTCGAATGCTGCCAACTTCTCCCTTTGTCGCGAAACCTTTCGTTGTAACAAACGCTTTATTTGTATGTCGTTTTAGCTTTATGTCAATCAGTAGATCGTAGTGCTCCAAAAAATCCGCGCCGACAATGGGATAATTTTCGTCGGCAACCACAAATGCCCAAAGGAATTCGCGCCTTAATCCGAGAGATAACAAAAGACTTTTCGCCTGGTATGTGCGTATAGGTTTGCCTTTTGCAACAAATAAATTAGGTGATAAAAATACGCCTGATTTACTTGGATTGAGACCGACTTCTTCAGCAGTACCGACAGGTCCGCTTTCGTGTCGATAAGAAATTAAATCGATTGAGCCATGTTTAGTTTTTGAACTTTGCGTTTGTTGCAAATCTCATATGAAACCAATACCAATCGGAGAGACTTGGTGTCTGCAAATGCGTTCGGTTACTCCTACTAATGCATGACAAGTTTTCGACAATCTAGTCTCATCCTTGGTAAAGCATGAGAGTCTTAATCGAACTGCTACCCACATTAGAATTGCTGCGGCAATTCATATATTCTTCCACTTCGCATATTCGGTCAGCCAACTTAGCTGACTTCACTAGATCTACATTCGATGCCTGCAAGTTAGCACATACTTGGTGGACACAGGTGATAATTCCAGTTTTAAGAAGAACCTTTTAAAATTTTACCAGCCTGTCGTCAAGATTTAGGTTTGAAAGGGATTTTACGATACCATTAGAGCACAGTTTATTCTCCCCGCTTTGTAAATGAAGACTACTCGAGCAATTTAAAAAACCAGGGAAGGGTGACAAATTCGCCCTGTTGAATATCAGCGGGTATAGGATTTATATGGCTGAAAAGTCTTAATGGCCTATTTAATTTGAGTGTTGGTCACTTGAAAACGACTGGGATTGATCAAAGGAGGTGGCGCGACCTGTGTTGATGCATGAACATCGGAAGTCACGCTCCCTAGTAAGTGAATGTCTGAAAGGATATCTAAAGTCTCCTTGTTAGAGTTGGTTCATTGACAATTTGGAGCCCAGATACAATCTGGGGTCTTGTGGGTGGAGTTGATAATTTTGCGCAATCAGAAAAAATTTCTATGTTGCCACAGAAAATTTTCCAAGTTTTCCAATTTTTACTTTTGGCCCGCCGAATGGCGTATAATGTTCCTTTGCTTTTCTTTATATGGTGTCCAGTTGTCAGTTGTCCAGTTTCAGCAAGATTTGTGGAGGTGTGCAATAGTTAGATTCGATCATGGAGGTTTGGGTTTACCCTGAAATTCGAAGAGTTTGTAGGCCGCATTTGTGAAGCTTTTAAGTGTAGCAGTAAGAAGGTCGATCAATTTTGGAGCAGTTAAGAATGGTTGGGGAGGGAGGGGGTCTGTATGCTAGAGTCGAAGGTTGGTTGGAAAATGGACCATTCAGTACGTTTGCTATTGACTGATTTGAGTATCTGTGATCCGAAAAGGAGCAGTCTTGTGATACAGACCAGTTGTTGAGAAAGTGTGAGGAGTGTTCGCTAATGAGGGTAATATCGAAGAATTCCCTTCTATTAGAAAGCATGAAGCATGAATTTTTTACTACAATACAAGATCTGAGCTTACCTTGACCTTTTACGAATACTATGCTGTATCCGTTTACGTTAATTCCGCAAATCCGATTGTTAACAATCCAAAGTTCTTGAATCAGAAGGATGTTCTCCCCTTCTTCGGCCAGGCAGAGGGTGAGGGTTACCAAGGCAGTTTTAGAGTGTTGGAGGTTAATTTGTAAAAGCTTCAACAAACTATATGTTTTCAACCACGGTACAGTTGAGCATATCTTCATCCGACATCGGTGAGGACTC